TGTAATAATCTTTTTAAAAACCTCAGTTGTATTGTTACTAAATTCAAGTGCCCAGCACAGTATTGTGCATCATAGAGTTGCTCTGCTTTGGCACATCAATTGCTTAGACGTATTTCTCTTAAGTAGAAGTTAACATTTGCCAAATCTCATAGGTTGAAATGGAAAAGACATTTTAGTTCCTTTAATACATCCAAAAGGAAGACTTTTCCATAACATATTTTCTTGTGTTTTGTCCATTTGGGTTATAGAAGTTTGGAGTCAGACAGCTAGGATGTTTCTCTTGGGAATCATCTTGCTAAGAGAAAAGCTACGCTAAGGTTTTAAAGGAGTTCAAAACAAAACAAAACACCTGCTTCAACACAGAAGGGGCCCAAAATCCCTGGTGGGCCTCTGAATATTTCAGTTTCTGTTTGAAATTTGAAAGACCCTTCAAGATTTCCTTAAGGATGCACCTTTAAAGAAGAACTGCTAATAACATTTAAGTTCATTCATTTTGAAGAATAATTACAGACAATTACATTATCATGGCCATATTTTTGAGCGAAAAAAGAATAGCCTTAATTTACCCCAAAGACCATATATTACCAGCAGCAAACAAGACCTGTCAGTGGAACAATGACCAATTCTTCATTGCTCTGTTGTAACTAAAAGGATTTGAGTATTCCTTATTTTATTATAGTTGAAAATTAATTTTCAAATGTAATAATGAGACAAGCTCTAGGGTCTGTTGTGAAGCCTGAAAATTGGAGCAGATTGCTTTTCACTATATGAGAGTGGAATATTCCTGGAATTCCCCATCTCCACTTCCCTATCCAAAGCACTCTGAGGAATCACCCAGAATTTGTTTCTTTTTGTCAACCCAGGCTTTATCATCTCAAGGTCTTATCTTAGGACTTCACCCTACTTTTTGGCTTCTCTGGTCTCTAACCTCTCTGTTCTCACAAACTCTTTTTCTGTCTTTTCTTCATCTGTCTAGACTGTTAATTGCCTTGCTGGCCAGTCCCACTGGTTCTCCACTTTATGTTTCAAGAAGCCTTAAAAGTTGCCATCTCTCCAGAATGCCTCCAGTTTCCATAAAGGGACCATGGAGCTGGAACAAGTGGCTAGAGGTATTATCAGCGACTATCTATCCTGCTTCCCTTCTCTTCAATCCCATCATATAGAGCATGGAAGACCTTCTTAGAGAGTTAGACATGCAACAATGTCCCACATCTCTTTGGAAGCTCTCCAAAGAATTATAGATGTAAAGATGTGCCCAGTTCAGACTTCACCAAGATTGAAGGTATAAGAGAAATAGGCATTAAAATGGGAAGGGGAAAGGAAGATGCCAAGAAAACATTTCACACCTTTGAAAAAGTTTGAGGCTCAATGAACTTTCCCCAGGCATCTTTATTAAAAAAAAAAAAATAGAAAAGAACAGAAGCCTACACAAGCAGGATAGTTCTGAAAGCTATGCGTTAATCTTAAAAAAAAAGTTGTATGTAATAAAGACCTGCAGTTTCATGTACAGTCTTTTGTTTTTTCCTTTTCTACTATACAAAACCAAAAATCAATTTTAAAAAATGAACTTGCCCCAGGATCCTTTTAGTACTAAGTGGTATGATGGATAAACTGCTAAGCCAGGAGTCAGGAAGCATTAATTTCAAATCCAGCCTCAGACACCGACTAGCTCTGTGACCTTGGGAAAGTAAATTGACCTCTATCTGCCTCAGTTCCTCAACTGTAAAATAAAGATAATAATAGCACCTATCTCATAGGGTTATTTTGAAAATCAAATGAAATAATATTTGCAAAATGCCTGTCACACAGTAGGTGCTTAATAAAAGCTTGTTCACTTCTGTCTCCAACTATTCACCTGCATCAGACACTATAGTAGTCTGGGAAGGAAACCACTACTGAGCCATGATGGATTGTCAAGCAGGAGAGGCTGGACCTGTCCCACACATCCTGCCTGGCAGTAACAAACCTCAGAGCCCAGCCCCTAAGGTCCTCCATGAAAAGAGGTTTCTGTCAATCCAAGGCTAAAGTTGCCCTGGTTGGAAGAGTACAGTAGCATTCCAGCTAAAAAAGAGTACTGTGACACTATCTGAAGGGAGCACAATCACAACCAGCTGAGCTACAGAGAGGCTGAAGAATGCAACAACCCATCAAAGAGAGAACCTAAGGTATCATCAAGCGGACCAATGGAATAGTCCATTGGCCAAGTATGGCCTAGCTGAGCATCAGCTGCCAGGTAGCTGAGTTACCTGCCCAATAGCAGTCTTAGCCAGAGGTTAAGCATCGTGCTCAATCCAACCCAACAGCAGAATCTGGTGAGGAGCCTGGTCTACAACCTAGTCATTTGCTTGACCTAGTTTACCAGCAGATGGGCTCACTTAGCTAAAGCACTGTGCCCAACATGAAACCAACCCAGCTGAGCAGAGAAGTGGCTCACTCATCACCAGTACCACACTCTATAAAGAACTCTGTTAAGGACCTTCCTAAGAAAGAGAGGTTCCTACACTCTATGAGGTGTGAGATACCTTGGTCATATGTGGTCCCTACACATGCATTTGGTAACTACCAAGTTATTCTGAGTCCACAGGCCTAGAACTACAGAACTGGGCAAGGGCTAGTAGAAACAATCTCATACAAGGACTGGCTGAGAAACCAAGGTGCTTAATTTGGAAATGAGAAGATTTAGAAGATTTAAATGCGTTCTAGCATTTGAAGGGTTCTCACTGAAAGAGTCCTAACACTTGCTGTGCTCATCCCCAAGTCAGCTCTAGGAGAAGTTGCAATAAGGTAGATTTTCATATCATAGATTTCAAGCTAGAAGGGATCTTAGTACAAATCCCTCTTTTTAGAGATAAGGAAAGTGGGGCTCAGAGGCATGAAGATCACTTGCCCAAAATCACATAAGTATCAGAAATGGACTTTAAACCCAGGATCTCTAACTCTTGACCCAGTGATCTTTCTATTATACCATGATATCTCAATGAAGTTCTTTTTAAGGAGGTAGACTTCTATTGAATGCACAAAACTATTACCTCTAGTTCCAATTGTAATTAACAGCAGGATAAGTTCTGAATGTTATGACCCTAAATCAACTCTATCAATATTACTAAGGATACATTTTAAAGCAAGTAGTTGATTTCCTATTAATTGCCTCATTAAGTTTCTCATTTTGTTTTTCAGTCTTTTTGAGTTGTGTCCAACTCTGGTGACTCCATTTGGAGTTTTCTTGGCAAAGACACTGGAGAGATTTGCCGTGTCTTTCTCCAGCTTATTTTACAGATGAGGAAACTGAGGCAAACAGGGTTAAGTGACTTGTTCAAGATCACACAGCTAGGAAGTATCTGAGGCTGGATTTGACTCAGGTTTCCTGGACTCCAGTCCCAAAGCTCTATCCACTGCACCACCTAGATGCCCTAACTCTTGAGTTCAGTAAAAAAATGAAAAAATACAGAATAGTACAAACCATAAACAATACATGTATCTTAGTGCATAGACTTCATATAAATTGGAAAGATTAAATCAATGGCTCTGAGAAATACACTTTCTTGAGGTCACGACAGTTAACTCTTCTTTGGGGTCAGATTAATTTTCATTTCTATTTCCAGGATAAAAAACAAAACAAAACAAAACAAAACCGTTGCTAGCCTTCTGAGCCTGTCCAAAAGTGGAATGGGTTACTTCAAAAGATCTCAAGTTCCCCATCCCTGGGATTCTTTTTTTAAATTTTTTATTGTATCCCCAGTTACACGTAAAAACGATTTTAACATTATTTTTTCAAATTTTGAGTTCCAAATTCTCTCCCTCCTTTCCTTCTCCCTCTCATTGAGAAGGTAAGCAATCTGACACACGTTATACATGTGTAGTCATGCAAAAAGTCATTCTGTGAAAGAAAAAAAAAAGAAAAGTGGAAAAGTTTCTTTGATCTGCATTCAGGCTCCATCATTCTTTCTCTGGAGATGGACGGCACCTTTCATCTGAAGTCCTTCAGAATAGCCTTGGATCGTTGTATTGCTGAGCATAGCTAAGTCATGCACAGTAGACCGCCATACGATATTGCTGGCACGGCTTCACGGGGATTCTTAGAGCAGAGGCTTCATGGCCATTTGTCTGGGATGTTATCAAGGGGATGGTGCACTTTTCTGCTCAAGAATGCGTTGGACCAAATGACTCTGAAGCCCCTTCCAATGCTGAGATGACATAATAGAAAAGAAAAGGCGTTCTGCTTTCTGTATGGAGCTACAACATCCCGGGGTAATAGGATTGCAAGCAGCTGGGACTAGGCCAGGGGTCCGCTTTGTCCCAATAAAGCAGGTTAGGGGAGGCGCCCCTCTCCCCTCCCCCACCCCCATTTCACAGGGGTCAAAGTCAAGGGCAAAGGCGAGAGGCATGTTATATTAGAACACTGGATCTAGAGACCGAAAACCTGCGCTTGAACTATGACTCCACTTATTACTGGAGTGGGGCTCTTACGCACAAAAAACTAGGGTTCCTATCTCCTCTAAAAGGGTCCCCCCCAGCGCCAAGTCTTTCTCCTCAAGGAGAGGTAAAGCTCAGCGACTAGTACGCAACTTCTGGTCTGGGTCTGGGCTGCCAGGCAACCCAAAGCGCCCGCCCACGTGGCCGCTCATGCTCATCCAATCCCGGAGCTCCACGACGTCAGAGCCCGCCCAGGTCTGCGGGCGGCCAGTGGGGAGCGGCGAGGAGGGAGGGGGTCATTCAGCTCCTCCGCCGTCGCCGCGTTGAGAGCCGTGCGAGTCCTGGCCGGTTAAACCTTGTCACTCAATTGTATATTAAAAATCTCCAAATCCCTGAACATCTCCAGCGTCGTAAGACATCTTAAAATAATTGCATTTCATTTTTAAGTTTTTCTAGGGTTGCTTGCCGCGGTTCTCGTCTGTTCTTCCTCAGACTTTTTCTTAGCTTTCAGGACCCCGGCGATCCCTCCCCGAGCACGCTCCCCACCAAGGGTTCTCCTTCCGGTGCCGCGGCGGCGGCGGCGGCGGCGGAGGCGGCGGTGGCAGAGCCAGTGCCAGCGCCGCGGAGCGAAGGGCTCGGGGGCTGTTGCACGTCGCCGCCGACATGGAGACGTTGTACCGGGTGCCTTTCATGGTCCTGGAGTGTCCCAACCTGAAGCTGAAGAAGCCGCCATGGGCCCACATGCCGTCGGCTATGACGGTGTACGCCCTGGTGGTGGTGTCTTACTTCCTCATCACTGGAGGTAACGTCGGCGGGGCTCGGGTTCGGGCTCGGGGGATCCCAGCGGGCTCTTGCTCCGGGTTCACTCGCCTTACAGTATTCCCTTCGTCCCCACTTCACACAGGAGTAGTGTGTGTGTGTGTGCACGCAGACTCTTGTCACATTAATCTATCAATAAAACTAAAGCGCCTACTACGTGGCAGGCCCTGTGCTAACCCTAGGGACACCAAAGGAGGCGAAAGACAGCCCCCTGCCCTCAGGGAGCATACTGTCTAACGAGGGAGACCACAGGCAAACAAATTCATACAAAGTAAGCAATGTAATCTAATTCAGCCAACATTTATGAAGTGCCTACTACGTGCCAGGCACTGTGTTAAGTGCTGAGTATACAAAAAGAGATAAAAGCCGGTCCTTGCCCTTAAAGACCTTAAATCTAATGGGGCAAACCGTTCTATATAAAGCAAGTTAAATAATAATTCACTTCAATAAACATTGAATTATCCAAATCTAGGGGGCTAGTCCAGGAGTTCTTAGCTATTTCTGTGTCATTTGTAAGTCTGATCAGCGAAGGTTGTGAACCCCTTCTCACATAATGTTTATAAATGCATAACATAAAATATATGGGGTTACAGAGGAGACCAATTATGTTAAAGTGAAGGTTCCGTTCCTTTTCCCCTTCACACCCTTTCTGGTTACTTTGGGTTAGAAGTACCCTGGAAGCAGATCCAGAGTTAGAGACTTTCCTTTGTTCGTAGACAAAGTAATGTAAGCTTGGACATCAGAAGCTGGCAAAGAACCAGCCTGGTTTAATTTAGAGAAGTTCTTTGCCAAAAAGTAGAAGGATACTGGTAAGGAAATATTTTTCAGCACTGTAATTCACAGAATAAACTGTGTGGGAGGTTTGTCCTCCGCCTTAGTAACACCAGTGAAATCAGAAATCTTGGAAGCATTGTAGTGAGAAGTTGAAAATGGTGGGTCCTTTACGAGAGTGATGAGTTGGCAATCCAGTGATAAACCGCGTTTGCCTTGCCTCTTCCCTTCAACCCTTTAAAGCTTGACCAGCTGCTTTCTGATTTTATTTTGGATAAACTCTGCTTAGAAAAGTCTTTGAATCATAAATAAGCATTGTAGATTAAGAAAAGAGATATGTGACTTCATTGGAATTCTATAGAATGTCATAGCTGGAAGGGGCTTTAGAAGTCATCTAATTCCATTGAACCTTTATTGATGAGGAAATGTCTTAGGTTGTATAGACAGGGATAGTAGCCAAGACTGGGAAGGTGATAGTACTATCCCACTCTGTTCTGGTGACCCCAGCTCTTCTAGAGTATTTATTGTATTCATTTTGGGGCTTCGTGTAGTAGAAAGTTCTTGAATAGGCTGGAGAATGTTTTTAAAAGGGCATCTGGGATTGTGAAGGGCCTGGTGCCGAATGAGGATCAGTGACTTTCCCAAAGTGGAAGAAGGCATTTCGTACCTAGGGTTCTCACCTCGAACTCTTTTGAGGTTTTCAAGCAAAGACTGGATGACCACTTGTCCTGTATTTTGTAGAAAGGGATTCTTTTTCAGGTGCGGTTTAGAATAGATGGCTCCCTATTTTCCATCCCTCTTTGAGATTCTCTCACTACCCTGAGATCAAGCAGCTAGTTAGTAGTAGAGCTGAGATTAGAATTTGGGTCTCCTGATTCTCAGTTCACCAATACTCTTTTCGGTAGTTCACAACTCTTATCTGGAGAGCCTGCATTTATACAAGTTCTAAATATTGATGACAGTGAAGTGGAAATAATGTACTAGTTCCTATATAAATGAATTGAGAGAAAAATTCTACAACACTGGCAGTAGTCAGAAGTTGTTTAAGTATTTAGCATGTTACATTACAAGTGTCATTCAGTAAATGAAATTTTAAAAATTAATTTTCTTGTCTTTATAAATAATAGTTTACAGAATTACAGATTATTAGTGTCCAGAGGGGACCTTATTTTTCATTCAGTACCTTCTCACTGTGAGGAAACCAGGGACTAGAGTTCTGTAGCTGCATCCTCAATCTGCTGGTTTCTTTCCATAAACTGCATCCTCATCTACCAGCTTCTTTCCATTATGGAAGTTTTTAAAGTGAAGCTTTTAACTTTACCTGAAATTACTGTGTACCTACATTAGATTAGGCCTCTGCCCTCCCAGGAAGCTTTAGATCTCAGAAGTCTGTTGGAGAGTTTATAGACCCTACAAGCACATGAAGACTTTTTAATTTAAAGTACACCTCCCGAGTGGTTTCTTTAGAGGGTGCATCTGTGTTCTTTTATGACTTCATTCTCTGACCACTCCTGCTGCGGATCCTTGGATCATTATCTTCCTATTTTAAACATGAGTATCACCCAAGTATCTGTCCTTATCACTATTCTTTCTATACTGTCACATCAATCATTTTTATGTAGGATATGGATTTAGTTATCACCTCTCTGCAGATGACTTTTAGATCTGTATCTTCAGACCTGATTGATGCTCCTAGACTGGTTCCACCTTTCCAGCTGCCCCTTGAACGCATGGATGCCATGTGCATATTCAAATGGAACTTCAAGCATGCCTCAAACCAAGCTCATTTCACCTTACCCCCAGCAAAGCCCTGTCCAAGTTAAATCTTACATTCCCACATGTCTGGTAGATGTTGTTTTGTTCTCTCAAGTCCTCCAGTTTCAAAGAGAGTTGTTTTTGATTCTTTTCTCTATTTCTGTCCCTAGTGCTGTCAACTCTTCCTTTGAAGTGTATCCAACATCAGTCCCCTCTTTACCATCTTAGCTTAGGAGTTTCATTGTCTCTTGTAAAAACCTTCAGTCCAGATTCTTAGCTGTGCTCCCTGCCTTTAGACTTTCCTTTCTCTAGGGCAGTGGTTTTCATGTGACACAATAGTCCTGATTTTTTGCTAGATGGGTGAATTATATAAACTTACATGTGTAATTGTGTAAGTCTCTCAGCTCTTCTGTGATTTTTTTTTGTTATTCCAAATATTTTAATCAGAGTTCTGTGCACGGCATTTAAAACACCAGTTTGTGAGGATAAACTCATTAGAGAGAGAGAATACAGAATGCAGATAGCCACAGAGCTGAGGGATTTTCTTGATTTGGGACAGGATCTGAATTCACTGTTTTCTGATCAGCCTTGCGCTGCTCCGTAATCTTGTTCTTATTTCTATGTCAAAAATATCTCCTTCTTGGTGTCTAGGTCTATGGAGCCTCTTCTTGAAGTAAGCATCAGTAAGATGATTTGGAATTTTTACAACTGAAAGGTTAACCTTGGTGGAGGTGGCAATGACAAATTTCTGATGGGTCCTTTTCAGAGGAACACAGTTCATGGTCAGAGGTCCAGTCACCAGTAGCAAGCCACTAGCCCGCTGCTTCGGGAAAACCACTGTCTTGCCCCTGTGGCGGCCGGTGAGCATGATCAGAACCATGCCCGGGGTGATGGCTAGATTGAAGTCTCCTCACATGCTGACTGAAAGGCTTTTTGCCATGACTTAGCAGCTTTCTAGGCACATCCTCAGTAGGGCACTACCTCTGCATCTTTCGACTCTTTACCACACGGGTTCCTCCATTCTTATCACTACCAACTGGCTTTGAGATAGTAGCAGGCACCTTCTCTTTCTTTTTCCTTTCAATCTGGGTTTTTGGTGCAGCTTATTTCCGCTTGTACGTGGCTCTCCTGGAATACATTGCAGACCTAGAGTATCGACCGATCCCTCGGGCCAGGACTGGATTCCGACTGCAGTGCTTTCGGGGCTTTTTCACCACCTGTTCAGCCACATCTTCTTTCTTGTTTTTCTCCTTTTTTTTTCCTTTTGGACCTTCTTTTCCTTTGCTTCCTTTGGGGGTTTTTTAGTCCACCATCTTGAGAGAAGAGAAAGAGCTCTCCTGTGATTCTTCAGGAAAAAGAACAATACTGTGAAAGAAGCAAAAAAAAATTTGAGAACTACTGCTCTAGTTGGTGCTCTGCATAACATTTAGAAAATTGTACTGTTAAATGGTTTGGGTAGTGTCACTCACCTAATCAAAAACTTTAATAACTCTCCATTACTTGTCAGAGAGTCCGTAAGCATTTATTAAGTGCCCACTACGTGTCACACATTGTGCTTAGCACTTGAAGAAAGGCAGAAGACGGGCCCTACCTTTAATCACAATCAGATGGTGGAGACAGCATGAAAACAACTATGTACAGACAGGCTTTAGACAAAATAAATATGAAATGATTGACAGAGGAAAGGCACTAAAATTAAAAGGAATTGGGAAAGATTTCCTTTAGAAAGTGGGATTTTAGCTGGAACTCAGAGGAAGCCAGGGAAGTCAATAGGTGGAGATAAGGAGGGAAAGCATTCCAGGACAGCCAGAGAAAATCTCAGCCCAGACCTGAGAGATGGAGTGTTTTGTTTGAAGAACAACGAGGAGACCACTGTCACTGATCAAGGAGTGCATGGTAGGGAGGGCTGTATGGGTTGGGCAGGGAGGACCAGCACCTCTGATATAAGGGCTTGCTGAACCCTTTTCAGGGCTGCTCATATACCTTTGGTGTCTACCTGTCACCCAGCTCTCACCTGTGGCTCCAAGAAGCTGTAGCAGTGACCATCCTGTGGTAAAACTGTCTCGGCAGATGGGCTAAACCAGGTTGATGGTAACTGACAGTGAATTGGGGGATGTCTGCCACAAACATGTGAAGATTTCCCCCAGCAGAACAGGTGGATTAAAACAGTGTGTTCCATTGGCCATGAAGGTGGCTGAAACAGGTGCTGTGGAGAGCTTGGTCAGATAGCTGTTTAAGGTCATCCTGACTTTTGTCCTGCCCCTGGACTTCAGTGACTCTGGAAGAGAGAGTGAGGCTGATAACTTTGTGCAGCTCTGCCTCATTTAAATCCAATTCACAAGCAAGTCAGGGCATCACCTTGTGATATCATTGGTCCTCTTTGAAAATGAAGGACAGGGAGCAGCTAGGTGGTGCAGTGGATAGAGGACCGGCCCTGAAGTCAGGAGGACCTGAGTT